AATATTAACATGATGTGCAGAAATGTTTGCTTTGCTGGGCGCAAAGAGAGCCCGGGATCTCTTTCGGTGCTCGCTTCCAATCAAACATCCAAATAAGAGCTTATCATTTAAAGTAGGTTTAAAGCCCGCGCATAATTGCCTTGAGATCCTAATAAATACCACTTTTTAATGACTTTTTCCAAATGGTAAAGAACTTCAAAAGGATTTTATTTGTTATTACAACAGTAGTCGACTACCCTTGTCTATGTCCTGCCAAACAAAGTTCAGCAACTTGCGGCAAGCTTCACAAACTCCCCTTCCTCCAACAACTCCTATCCATCACCCACGAAACATCAAAGCAGGAGCCAGAGAAAAACGTCAAGCCCCTTTTTGGAATTGCCCTCCTACCTCCATATCCAGTAATTACAGCTTATACAGGACATCAGCATTATAACTCGCCTAACCACTGTGTAATAATACCACAAAGTACTTCAAAGAGGCAACACTCATTTCTGGGTAAAAATAAAAACTCATGGATTATGCATAAGGGAGGATTGATTTAGCCTTCCAGAGCAGCTGGAAGCTCATCTGGACTGAGACCCTGAAAAAAAAAAAAAAACTTGATAATAGAGATTTATGCTGGTGTAATTTTAGTGTTGGGCATGAAAGGGTCCAGTAGTGAGAGCTGTTTTCACCAGACTGTGTTTTCGCATTAAAAATGTGGAGCCCATTTCTCATGCCACAATAGGATTATGCAGCAGCCAAGAGTGAATTTAGATTGCGAGGTTAAATTTTGGAGCCTCAACAGTTTGGGGGAGAAAAACCAGACAAGAACCAGAAATGCAATGTTTGATGTGCTTCAATACTGCCCTCTTGTGTTTATTTTACGCACATTTCGACCAATTAGATTTAAATTTACCATGTTCAGGATCAGGTGGTTATTAAAAAAAACTACAGCCACTGTAAAAAAAAAAAAAAACTCTGCAGCCAGGCACTAGTAAATTGCACTTGCTTAACTCATTATTTATTGAACAAACCATATAAATAAGATTTTTTTTTACAGATTGCACATCAGGAGACTGTAGATGAGCCTGGCAATAATTTTAAAAGGGGGGAAAAAAACGTCAGTAAAGGCCTATGGGAAGCAATTTTTACTACCCATAAAATTGGAAAGGGTTACAAGGTCATTTCCAAACGACCTAAAGTACACATTTATACAAAAAAGTGATTGTTCACTTGTAGAGAAAAATAGCTGTTAAGCCGGCTGCCAATCTTCTCATTGACGGGCAAACCAGAACATTCACCCCAAGGTCAAACACACAGAGTAATTGCCAAGAAACCAGGAGACATTTAAAATGTAAGACTCTCCAGGTCTCAGTGTGTTAAATATTAAAGTTCATGTTTCTGCTGTTAGAAAAAGACAAAACAAGCATTGGTAGAAAAATATTTTCTCTAAAATAAAATGGCAGCAAAAATAATCCACAAGATATTTGGGACAATTGGGACAACAGCTATATCTATCAAAGAAAACTGAAATATAAGCTGAATGTTGATTGAGGCATAATGAGGGGTTCAAATAGATGCTTCACCTCCTATTTAAATGGCTTCTTCACTTGTTTTATTACATGGGTTAGAAGTATCATGCTTATAAATTGTAGCCACAACAATCACACTAAGAGGGTTGTGAAGGTCACTAATGGGGCCATTAAGACCACATCCATCATTTGCCCTGTCTTCCCTGTCCAAAATGGTCACATTGCTTTCTTCGACAAAGTGTTTCTTGTCCTTGAGATGTAGATGAGCTGACTTTTGTTATAAAGGGTCATTCTTCTGCGTAGCTGCTATTTTGTTTTTCCATTGTAGAGGTCTAAATATTTCTCACTGCGCTAGTATCCATGTACCACATCGCTGAGCTTGAGTTTGTCTAGGATGTCTAAGAATCATCATATCATTTGGACTTTTTGAAATAATAGCACCTTGAAGTTACTGAGTTTATTGTGGACTTACTTTTCTTTGTACCAAAATACACTCTTGTGAAAAACAGGAACGTCCCAGACAAGTGACAGGAAAATCTGTAAAAGAAGGTTGAACTTTTTAACACATGCAAAATATATAGATCTATCTAAACGCACCGTTCCCATTGACAAACACGGAAGTGGGGATGGTCAAACTTTAACGGAATATGGAACGGGCTAGATACGACAATAAAGGAAGAAGAGCCGTTTTAGGTTGCAAAAGACTTGAGTCTTGGGCTAAGGTTCACCTTCCAGCAGGACAACAGTAGTAAACATACAGACAGAATAATAATGGAGTGATAGAGGAATGCATATCTGTGCAATCAAAGGACCTAAGTTGAAAATGAATGTTCACAGATGTTTTCCATTCAGTTTGACTGAACTTGAGCTGTCATGCAAAGAAAAAATGATAACGTTTCAGTCTCCACTTGTCCAAAAGCTGGACTTTCCTTAGCCATCATTACATGTAATTAACTTTGATAAAAATAAGTAATTTAGATGATTTTTCTTTCCTTTAAATGTACTGAAGGTAATCTAACATGTGCATGTAAATCAATCTAAACTGAGTGATTTCTTTTTGTTTGTGTGTCAGTCCTTAAAGAATGCATGCTGTCAAAAGACTCCCAGTTTCAAAAACACAGCAGTGCATAAAAAAGTGACATCTGTCAATGTTGTTCCTATGACAGATGCCTCGTCTGTTTTCACTGTGAATGTCATTTAAAGTCAAACCCACTGAAAGAGAGCTGAGTAGGTGAAAATCGATAGTGCGACATTACAACATCAAGATGGATGGTGTGTGTGCATGTGAGTGTGTACGCATGTGTGCAAGTCTTTAAGGGAAGTGCAAATCATGTCTGTTTTTATAAGCCTAGCACCCTTATGCTTTAAGTAATTGGCAATGTTATACTAAACATAATCAATATCACGAGGCAGCTTGACATTTAGCACAGTTAGGCATGGAAGGAACATGTTTAGCGATGTTTTGTGACCTACTTTCTTCCAGGGAAGTCAACATTTTCATCATTGCGGCATGTCACCAGCCTTCCACCATGTCACCAACATGTCAGCGACTTTAATTAGTCATGAAGAGTGCCTGTTCCATTTATCTGTACATGATTTAATTCAGCTTGACGCCTACAACCCCTCATTTTACTCCACATGTAAGGAGGTTTCCACAATAAATTGGAGAGTAGCAGCGAGTCTAAAAAAAAGAGCGTTTTAGAGACGTCTTCCTGCAAATGGACAACTATCGCCATTTAGACCAATGCAGGATTGTTATTGTTAAGTAGAAATGCATGCATAATTTAGTATGACTTTTGTTCCGTTTTAATAATTTTTAACTGGTAAATGTCATCTAAAATTTAATGTATGAAGCAACAGTGACACCTCGTGGTAGTTTGTGATAGATCATTAAAAGTCAATTAAATCTTGATCTCAAACTGTACACTTAAACTCGCATTTATGGATTAATATAAACCACTGCAATGATCCAGCAAAATAAAAGATGGTTTTTGACCTTCTACTGTACCTTGACTGTGAACATATTTATCCAAGTAATAACTTGGAAACAAATAACCGGAATAACTAGAAAAACTACAAAAAAAAAACAAAACAAAAAAACAAGTTTATCAAGAAACACTATATGAAACAATCCATGAAATGTTTCTCAGATGTCTTCTTGCTCACCCGTCTCCCTCTCGCTTTCAGCTGCTGATCTGATAGATAAATTTAGCAATAAAGTTCTTGCTATTAATACCATTGCTCCCACTAAGAGGAAAATGTTCACTGTTAAAAAAAAAAACCTACATGGAGGAAAATAGTAGAAAATTACAGGTTCATTATGACATCTATAAAGAAAGACTGAGCCTATTTATATATTTTTTTAACAAAAACAACAATAATGCACAGACTTTGTTCTCTATTGTTGAGAAGCTAATGGTTCCCCCTGAATCAATGGACCCTGAATTTCTGTCCAATCATGTTTCTCTCTGTACTGACAAAATCCAGAAAATTAGACTCTCAGTCAGTGTTTCAGTGCCAGATGCAGGAGATGTGTTGCCTCTGTGTCCACAGAGAGAAACTGTGACACAGTTTTGTCATTGTAACAAACGAGGACCTGAATGATTTCATGCATCACTTCAGTTCCATCACTTACAGCCTTGACACTCTGGAAACAGAGTAGAGGTTTTGCACATTGTAAATATGTCATTGCTTTCAGCTTTCCTCAGTTCCTACAAACAGATGTGATTAAGCCATTTTTTAAAAGAAATAGTAGACACGTCTCTTACGAACAGCTATAGGTCTGTAAACCTCTTCGTTAGTAATGTCATAGAAAAATAGTTCCCCAAGGTTAAATGTTGGGGCCTATGTTTTGAACTTGCTCAAAATGTGTGCATAAAAATGGACGGATAACATAATCATCTTGCAAGGAGACCAGACATTTATTAAATGCGTCAATTAAATTAAGGATTGGGTATGCCGTAATTTTCTTCAGTTTAAATGAAGATAAAACAGAAGTGGTAGTGCTTTGGGCTAAGGAGAAAGATTAAGAAGTTTGTTCTCAGCTTCCAGCAATAAAGTTAAAAATCAAAAGTCAAGCTACACCAGGGGTGCTCAAGTCCAGTCCTTGAGAGCTACCATCCTGCAACTTTTAGAAGTATCCTTACTCCAACAGACTGGGATCAGCTCTAAACAGGCCTGGTAACGAGCCATTCATTTAATTCAGGTGTGTTGGAGCAGGGACGCATCTGAAAGTTGCAGGATAGCTTTGGAGGACTGGACTTGAACACTCCTGAGCTACACTATTAAAGTCTGAATTTAATGCAAATGTGGGAAAAAATCTGAATTTTCTCTTTTTTCCAGTGCACCTATTCCTCTTTCGTATGATTTGAGTTATATTAATAGATCACATGACATTTCAAATAAAATTCAAGGCAGTTTAGCTGGAAATTCAGTGTCATGAATCGTCTTTTTTCTGGATGTAATACTGCAACTACAAGGCCCATGATGCACTGCGGCGACTCAGCCGTTATCATGACACATCTTCAACCTAAGGAAAAGCTTCCTCTCTGTATGAGCGTTTTATTTGTTAACCTTGGAGTAAGGGTGACCCCATTTGTCGCTGTTTGAGAAGTAAGCAGCTCCTTGTCTTGTCAGGCGGATAGTGTCTACCAGTTAATGTGTGTCATAAGTTGTCTGGAGCTTCCTTAGACACGCTGGAGCTCGCTGAGTGAGAAAGCTTTACGAGCTAGCAGCTAGCGCAGCTAAGTGAGGAGACCCGTAACGTCGGGGTGCTACATTCACCAAAAACAGCCGCTGACAGAAAGAAATGCTGACTTCACATCTATGGCGTTATGACGGAGAGTAAGAACAGAAGGTTTGTAGCGATTTTTTTCATTATGTCTGAATCTCAGTGCGTCTTTAAAACAGTGGGTAATGAGCTAAACTTGACAGCTAAGTTAGCGTCATGTTATAACTGAGTGAAAATGAAATTATGGTTGCGTGTTTGCTTTAAAGCAGGGAGATATGTTTGCATATTTTTGTTCATTTTTAAATGAAGACTGGTGACACTGTCGTGTATGGCGTTAGTTGTTCTGTTTAATGAGTTAGCTTGTGAAACGTTGTCACGTGAGATGGCACAACACAGGAAGCTCCTAGTCAACTCGTTTCATTATCTGCTGCATTTTACCAAATATTTCCTTGCTTACAGAGCTGCTCATTGCATAAGTATGAATAAATAAATACTTACCTCTTTTGTACAGTTAAAGTGTTACTTCTGTTATAAGTGACCTCAATTCGTGCTAGTAAATTAACATTATTTCTGTACTCGGTGTTCTGATATGTCAGTGTTTCTAGAAAGCTTGTAAAGGTTTTTGTAACCCAAAGTGGTAAACGGGCTTTATCCTGACGTGGCATTGTCGGCTTATTGGCTCTTTTATACCTGCTTGGTAGTTTATTTTTTAATTTTTTTTCTCGACTCAGTATACCCTTGTTGCACTGGACTTCGTCTCTGCAGCATGCAGTAGACTGAATATTCATTTTTGAAGTCTTTTATCTGTTTTATTACTTCATTATCAGTTAATAAGTTGACCTATATTTGCTTTAGTAATTTTATCAAACCACTGCCTCCCTATGTAGTCTAAGTAAACCTCTTGACAAGCTATTATCTAGAAAACACTTGATTTTAGATTCAACCTGTCGAACAGCATTCATACACCATTTTCACATTTTTTAGCCTTGGTTATTCGTAATCCATTAACGGAGGTGGATATTTAGTAGTTAGAAAACCTTAGGCACATTTTAAGAGGTTGACTCAGTTTTTAACATGTTTGTTTTTCTTTTCTTTTTATGGCATTTGTTTATGTATATTGTGAAACTTGGTTTATTTTAAAGTGCTTTAAACGTGGTTTGTTCAGGTAGTGTAAGGGACACAGAAAATAGTTAGAAGCAGGTGAATTCAGCATCCTGCTATGGGGATGCAGCCACCATGGAAGGTGGTTAAGTTAAAATAAAGATGGATGGAGCTAAATGTAGGGGAATCCTTGAAGAAATATTGTTAGAAACTTGAGAATTAGATTAAATTTGATCTTTTAACAGCACAGTAACCCTGTAAATCTACAACCAGAGCAACAATGGTTATGGCGTACAATTTATATCAACGCATATTCAACTGTAGAATAACCAAGTCAAAGTGCCAATTAAGAATCTTTGGTGAGCATAGAAAATTGCTTGTTGAGACATCCAATCGTTCTCAGCTGGAGCTGCTTTGGAGAGAAGAAAATGCTAAAAATGTCTGACTCTTAAGGTGAAAAGCTGGTAAAGACAAAATACTCGCAGCAGAAATTGTTTCTGTTTCTGCAAAGTCTTGACTCCAGGGCTGAATGTAAATGCACCACACATCTTGTGTGGAACCATGGGTCCCCCCTTCACAATTATGAGCTATATTGTATTGGACTATATTACATAAATACACTGCAAGTGTGCAGCTGTGATGTAAAAAAAAAAAAAAAAAAAAAAACAGGGAAAAGTTAAAGTGTTATGAGTGCTTTTGAAGGGACTGTATGTACTGAAGCCTGTTCTGATGACTATGAACAGTTCTCGTCTGTGTAATTTATCACTTGCACAGCATCAGCTATCAGCATCACCTTGTTCAATCACCTTCTGAAGCTTTGTGAAAGCTCTCCTTTAGTTTCACCCCTCCAGCTTTGGTCAATCAGGTTTATATGCAGGCCCACCACTTTCTCACTAATCAAGCTGGCTGCATACTTTAAGCAAAATATCCCTTGATCATAACCTCTAACAGCATTGCATGTGTCAGAGATATGCAGTTGAATTAATGGGGTAAAATGGGAAGCTTTGATCTACTGTTCAGCTGTGTGATTACTTGAAAGTTTGCTTCTCTTATTTTGAGAGGATAAAAGTCATTTCAGGACAAATGAACATTTAGAAAATAGTAAATCTTTAACAGATGTAGATAAATTGTAAGCTCAAGCTCATATTTTGTCTATTCTATATAATAGTACTGATAACAATGTTAGGAAATCATTATGTGTGACACATTTTTATTCATATGTCTATGTAAACCAGATTGTTGTTGAACGTATTTATTCTGTGTCTACATCCTTTTGTTCTTGTCCTCGCAGCAGGTCTGCAGGAATACCGGCGTGAGTTTACAGGTCACAGGCAAGGATGAGCGGATCCCTCCCGTGGTTTCCCATGAATCTCGCCTGGAGTTGGAGCGTGTTGTGAAAGGAGAGTAGTGGGAAGACCACACGTGGACAGTCAGCAGCAGTCATGAATCTCCATCAAGTCCTTACAGGGGCTGTTAACCCCGGGGACAATTGCTTCTCTGTTGGGAGTGTTAACAATGTGCCTTTCACGGTAAGATATGTCAAGCTCTGGAAATATTTCCCTTTCAGCATTTAGATGCTCTAATTCTCAGAGGAGGTGCTAAAGTGATCAGTTGGGGAGCCAAATGTAACTTTCAATCTATGGGGGAAAAAAAATAAGAAAACTAATCCTGTTGGGCTTTAGTTTTAGCATCTAGAAATGTTTTTTAGTTTGGTTATGGTATTTTTATGGATGACCTGGGTATAAATATTGGCAGATAATGACAGTGTTCAAACAGTACTTAATTTCTGAATGAACAGCAGCCTGAGATCCATCTGTAAGAGGCTCCGTCACTGTGAATCACGGCTCATGTGAACCACAGAAATAGAGCAACTAAATCTAAGTGACGGATAATTTTTTCCTGTGTGCAAAATGCAACCACAAATGCAGGTCAACTGACCCTTCATACAGCTCTGGGTATATTTGAGTGTCCTGATTACCCTTGTCTCCTTTTGTTGTTTCTGTATAGGCTTATGCGTCAGGTTGTGACGTGGTGGTTTTAGGAAGTAATTTTGAGCGGCTGCAGATCATCCCGGGGGCCAAACATGGGAATATCCAGGTCGGTTGTGTCAACTGCTCACAACGAGGTGGACAGGTAAGAATTCAAAGGACATACAAAAGCAATGTTTTTGTTGTAGAAATGGATATTTACAGGGTTTTTTTTTAATATGTGGTGATATTAGTTAGTTATAAATTTATTAAATTTGCACATTTAGTTAAAAATTTTATGTGTCCAGTGACTGGTCAATGATTTGTGCTTACAAGATTGCATTCGCATGATGCAATTTTTTTTTTATATCTTTTTACTGATTTAACATTTTTATAATGGATTCATTACTTCGAGTTGGCTAATAAGCAGCATTTTCAAAAAATTCTTTTTTATTATTTTTTTTAATTTTACATCAAATTAAAAAAAATTAAATTTTATTTATTTATTTATTTTTTAAACACAAACATCAGTTTGTGTTTTTTCTACACGTGTTCCCTGGCCTCCAACAGGTGTGCTCTGCTCGCACAAGGGGTTACGTCAACCGTGAAAACTCAAACATCCTGTTTCATCGAGGTTAACTTACCGCTACTGTTTTGGAGCTAGTGTTGATTTAAAACTGGTCTTGTTCTTCTTTTTTCTTCTTCTTTTTTTTTTTTTTTTTGATCGAAATATGTATATAAAGATATGTTTTTGTCACATATTTGTATAACCTTCACGGGACTCTGGCACTTATTTTATTCCACTTGAAGCACTGAACAGATTGAATATTGTCAGATTTGTTCCCATTTGGGAAAAACTGAAATGTTTCCTTGTTTCAGTTTCCAAAATATACAAATTTACTTTTTCTTTTTAGACTTTAACAATTATTCTGTCTTCAGTTTACTAGTCAAATATATAAATGATGAAAATGACAGTTAGTTGCAGGATCATGCATACCTAATCATCTTGTGCTTAGTTGAACTCAGACTAATTTAGTACATTTATTTAGCAACAACTCACATCTGTAATTAGGCTTTCTTTCATGTTGAAAAATAAAACTGAGAGGCAGGTTTTCTTTCCCCTTGTCCCTCCTTATGAGTTTGTTGGTAAGATCAGTCTCAGAGCGATCATGGATATCTGACGCCAATTTGGGTTAAATGTCTGAAGACAAAGGATTTTTTTTTTATATGCCAACTGGATCAGTTCAGTTCAGCACATTAGTTGGAAGCTTTGTTGTTCTCTTACATGTTGACAGCATGTTTGCTATAAATGCTTCTGTTGGCAACATCAAAGGGTGGCTTAATTAACTTTAGCATTTCCTCCAGTAACTGAGGATGGGGAAAAATACAATGACTAGCTGTAAAGTATTCAATTTCCAAAGCTGGATTTAAGTGCTCAAAACTGAAAGAGACAAAATGGGCTGTTTGAAGATTTGAATATAGAAAAACTAAATATTTTTCAGCTTTTTTTGTTGTTTTGTTGAAGTTGGTGCATACAGATGCTTTTTTAGCTAGCTTAATTTGTTGCAGATCTTTAAATAAATGTCTTCTTCGACAATCAGACAGCCTTACATGAGTTTTTGGTGCTTGCATAACATAAACTATTCTGAGACTTTTCTCACCTCACTCAGAAATTTTTAATCCTGCCTTGAGAGTTTTTCAGCCTACAACCCATTTGTAGGACAGTCATACTAACGGCTGTCAAGATGACAGGTGTCATTAATCCATACTCTGATCCTGAAAGAAGTTTAGCTTGTTTTTACTTGAGGGAGCCTTTGTATCAAATCCAATATGTGAGGCGTCACAGTCACATGTTTCAATGTGTGAATGGCTGTGAAACTGCTGAGGAGAAAAGTAAAAAGTAAAACCTCCTCTGGGAAATGTTTTCCTTTTCTGATTGCTTCCTCCGCTTGTCTTTTGAACCACATGTTTCTTCTGTGCCTAAAGTAAGTGCACTATTGTCCTTAAAAACCCCCTCTGTCCTGGAGATGTAGATGAACAGATAGATCTGGACATGAGGAGTTGGCTCTTCTGTGTTGTACAATGTGTTTGTATAGCTGCCATTTCATTTTTACTAACATGGAAAGGTCTGAACACACCTCACTGCATTGGGCTGCACATAACTCTGCTAAACATGTGTGTTGGCCTGATTTTATTCAGAATTTGTCACAGGAATCTGAGATTATATTAATATATGAATCTGTCATATATTAATATATATATCTATATATAGATATATATATGACATATGATGCACGGTGGTATAGTGTGAAAGTGATCAGTAAATTTGAGGTTGTGGCTTTGCTGTGGAAAGTAGCTTCGACTCCAGCTGCAGTCCAAGTTTCCAAAATTATTAACTTAGTTTCACACTTATCTCATAGCAGCCATTTTCCCTGTTGCTTTGCACATTTTTCTACCAATTTTTCCTTCCACTGAACCTTCTACAACTATTTTTATATATAGCACTCTGTAGAAAGGCTTTACATTCCTTTATATTCAAATTTTTGAATTTTTGGGTTTTCATTCATCTGAAACCAATAAACGCCCCAAATACGTTCTGATCTATTATAATAGCTTGTTGTACATTTTTGTTGCCTTGGTGCTGAATTGTTCTCTATAAATACTTGTGCCTTCTACCTGGTCTACTAACTACAGGCTGGTTGTTGGATAAAGGTGCACATACTCAGAATGGTGATTCCCTGAATTTCTGCAAGGCTTGACAGAGCGGCCCATCCTTAATTCTTGGACAGCATTCTCGGTTCCTTTTTATTGAGTAACTCAGGTGTCACTTTAAAGGGCAAATCTGAGATTATACTGAAGAAATTAAGCAATAAATTATCTGTAGTGTGGATCTTTTAATTGTGGATGGTAGGCGGGTTAAACAGCAGACCAGCCTGATGTGATTTCAGATTAATAAAAGCTGCTGGGTCATGCTTTTGCTGCTCTGCTCGTGATGTTTAATCCAATTATCTTGGGTCAGAAGTAACTACACGTGCCTCCAGAATGGCCTAGCGTCTGTTTAGGAATGCAAGAAAATTGGCAGGATTGCCAGTTGACCTTTGCCATCCTCTGCCCACTTTATGGAGCATTTCTGCACTATTGCATCAAAAGTACTCGCACTTTATCCATGATAGACTACATTTTGTTGGTATCACTGACCTCTGTATGCGTTCCAAATTATTTCTGTTTAATTATTATTCAATATAGTTAAAAAAGAGACTTTCCTAAATTTAGCAAAAAACTCTTTTTAGGGTCTTTTTTACCCTCTTTTTGTTCAGGTCTCATTTATGTAAATCAGCATAAAGGTAGAATATTAAAGCAACATTGCAAAGATGTGGAAATAAATCTGCTTTTAAAAGCAGTAAAAATAGGTTCCAGCGGCCTTGTCATTATAAAAGCATCTTATTATTATTTTTTTTAGTTTTGCACTACATTGCCATTTTAATATTGAACCTAAAAAAATGAATAACACAGTCCTAAGTACAGTTATTACATAGCAACACACAGGAAATGTACTTTATAAAAATACTCTTTTAAAGCTGCAGTTGTAAAAAATGTGACTTCCACTTGATTGTGATTAAATGTTTTAATTTTAAAACGACATGGATGACTTTAAACAAAGAGCTTTCATTTTTCTTTATCCAGTCTGTTGTCTGTCTAGAAGGATTCCCGTGTGACTGAGCTTTAGCACATGATCGCTTGTAGACTTCCTAGCATCCACAATCACACACATGAGTGCTTCACTCATTCTGTTTCTGGCTTTCAGCACGCCATTTACATTTTGCAAATTTTCATTGCAAAATTATCATGTGTTGGATTAGAGATTTTAGATAGTTGCATAATTGAACAACATTGCAGGGTTTCCACCAGAAAACCTGCCATGCCCGGTGGGTGGGCTTTTGTATTAAAATATGTTAAGTTGACAGGAAATGTAAAAATATTACTGGGTAAAGTATTTAGCTTGAAAGATATCTGCAATTTTGTTTTTATTTGCTTTTAGAGTAATGGCTTCCTCCTCACTGAGGGAATTTTCATCCCATGTTGGTACAGGACACTGAAAATTGTTCCCAAGTATGAGCCAGACTTGCAGCTCCACATTTCTCTACCTGATATCTTGACAGATTTTATTTAGTTTTACTTTTCTATTGTGTCAAACAAGAAAGCGGTATTTTCCAGGTGTGGCCTTATAAATGCATCCACAGGTGTGCCTCCAGTTAACTCAGACCTATCAGTTAACCAAACAAAGGTTTCCAAAACCATGACATCATTAATTGTGCTGTCTCTTGTTGTTTAAAGAGACAGTAATCATTCTGTATGTCAAAGTTCTGATCTTGGAGATGGCAATGAATTAATTTCTTATACATTCTCTCTCTTGCATAATTGTACTTTTAAACAATCAGAGATCATTTTGGTAATCCTAACTGACATAAAACAAGAGATGTTTGGCCTAATTTAACTTCCAACAGTAAGAAGAAAAAGTATTTTTATTTGGTACATGTAAACTTCTGGTTTCAATAGTATTTTCTTTTTAATCACTCTGTTTCAGTCAGAAAAGAGTCTAATATCACATTGCTCTCCCTTTTTCTGACAGATTGCATCTTCCTATGGAAGCATTGTTTGTGTCTTTGAGCCAGTTCACCTCCCAGATCAAAAGTGCACATCATCATCTGTAAGTAGTTTGTGATTTCTATTCCTTTCCACTCATGCTTGTGTTCAGATGATTTAAAAAAAAGGATTACATTTGATAGATATTGGAAATTGATCAGAGGAATGTTGCTCCAATGTGCATTAATGCAAAGATATTCTTTGATTTTTTTATTTACAATGTTCCATAATCATGTGTGAATATCTCTTCAGTCAGAGCAACTTAGCTCAGAGTTACCATGAAAAGCGTTAAGAAGTGAAGTGACGTTGGTCACATTCAGTGCCTCCACAGAGGTTCTCTGGTTTTATGTCATCATATGCGGTTTGATCACATGTGACTCTCAGGACTCTGTTAGTTTTTGTTCACCTTTTTGCACGTCTGAAGTAGCTGAAAAAAGGGAAGGAACTAATTTTAATCACTTTCTGTTTGTAATGTGAATGTCTTACTACACTTATTGTTCTTATCCTCTGTGCAGAAACTAAGCTGCCAATGGCAGAAGACTGGTCAGTTTGTTTTAGAGTCAATGGTACGAAACCTGGCTTGGCATCCCACAGGTACTTTTACACATCTGTCAGTCATGATGTTAAAATTTAGGGCAAGTTTCTTAAAAATGTTAAATCAACTATTTAAATCTTATTTGCAACTTGCAGATATTTATTTTTATTAAGAACCAAAACTGAGAATATATTCTTAAAAAAAAGAGAATATATACCTACATTCAATAAACTTGAATATTATCAAAAAGTTGATTTTTATTTCCATAATTTAATTCAAAATGTGAGACTAATGTCTAGACTTGATAACGGGAATATGATTCATGCATTTGTTTTTGTTAATTTGGATATTTATGGCTTACAGCAAAAATAAGCCAGGAAATTACCTTTGGTACCATGGCAGGCGCCAACCCATGCTAGAAAATGAAATTGGCATCTTTATAAAGTTTTTTTTTTTTCTTACTTTTAAATAAAACTTACTGGTAGATGGCTCTACTTTCATCTGAAACGAGTTCTTTGAAGCACTGAAGGCTACATTTGTCCTTGTTGCTTGTGTACATTTTTCTACCACACTTTTCCTTCCGCTAAACTTTCCACTAATATTCTTGGATATAGCAGCCTTTGACAGCCAGCTTCTGTACCAGGAAGCTAACTTACCCTGTTTGTGGATGGATTCAGTGACTTGACTCAATACAGCAGTCATGTCAGCAATGTTTCTCATGATGGTATACACCAAAATATGACTATAAGATATTATTTCAGCATTGATGCTTGTCTGGGTTTTCTTTAGCTGTAAGCCACAGATATCCGGTTTAGCAGAATATAAATGCTCGAAACATATTCTGTTTTGTAAAGAATCCATATATACAATATACCTTTTGAACTGTAAAGAAATCAACTACTTCATGATATTCAAATTTATTGGGATGCACCTGCTACAGGTTACAGATAAATTCATGTTGGAATGAACATGGAATGGTAACTGTACTGAAAGAAGGTCTACTTTACGTGTGCAGGTGGTACTCTGTTAACTGGCTCTAGTAGCCTTCAGTTATGGTCCAGTGCTGATGGGAAAGATGAAAGTGAAGAAAAGGGAAAACGGACAAAAGCCACCCGACCAGACTCTAATTCTACCTGGAGATGCATCTGGCAGAGCAAGTAAGAAATGAGCAGAAAAATTACGTTGTTACAGAACTACTTACGGTTTATAACCTTTAGCTGCTTTCATTCTGATGTACACTTTGTGATTTATTTTTTACATTCTTGTCATGTGCTAGTTTATGCTTTTGAAAAACAAATCAATTTAGACTGATTTTATTTTGTTTTTCTTAAGGACTGCCTCTCCAGTCAGTTTTATAAAGTTCTCACCTGATGGACAGTTCTTTGCTACTGCAGGACAGGTACGTGTGTACACTTACAAACTATTATTAAAGTTACTTGGCTTCAACTTCAATTGCAGGACTTTAGATTGATTGATGTGGGTGTTTTCAGGATGACTGTCTAGTGAAGGTTTGGTACAGCACAAACAAGTGGAAGTCATGTGTTGCGGAGCTGTTTACTCCTCCAGAGGCCAGTGTGACTGTGCAGGGAGAGCTGACCTTTTCCTTCATCTACTTGGCCCATCCTCGCTCCGTTACGGGGTTCTCCTGGAGGAAGACTAGCAAGCACATGCCACGGTACGATGAAATAAGAAACATTACACTTAAACAACAAAAAAAAAAATTCTCCAACTGTGTACCTGGATGACTCATAGAGGTTAAAGCAGGAAAACAAACTAAACCAGATAGCAGAACTCCTTCCTTGCTGTTATCTTTATTCTCATTTCCCTTTTTTCCTAACAGAGGGGCAGTGTGTAATGTTCTGCTCACCTGCTGTAAGGACAGCGTCTGCCGACTGTGGGCAGAGACGCTGTTGCCAGGTGACAGCCTCATCTCCGGTTACCATAGCAGCCATCTTTTTGGCCCACAAGGGGAAACGGTCAACTCTGCTGGCTCCTCTTCGAAGCACACCTGCAATGGGAAATCGGCAGGAATGTCTTCACAAGAGGTATGTCATTCTAGACACTGATAACATTGAAATTACAGCTGATATGGTAAACTTGTAATAGTTAAGAGAAATAAGTAACTTTGGAAAAGAAATGGGAAAAGAGAAATCACGGTAGACGTGTTGTGGACTTCTGATGAGGGAATTCAGTAATCTGATTCAGATGTGCCAGAGAAGGGATGCATGTAAAAATTGCAAGATGGAACAAAGTAATATGTCTTTATTCATTAAATATAAATTATATATCTGTTGCTAATGTCTGAACTTATTCACTCAATAATTTATGGTTTATCCTAACAGTTAAGTTTCCAGGAATCATGGCATTCCTCGTCTTACCGGGATATTCCTCAGCCGTCTCTGACTGGCTGCCTGCCTCATGATCAGAACCAACACCATAACCACAGGAGGAGCAGCAACAGCGGGACGCCTCACGCCAACGCGCTCTGCCACTTCCACATCGCAGCCAGCATTAACCCAGCCACAGGTTTGAATCCAAGCTATTCATTTGTTGTTGTTTTTTTGTGAGGCATTTAAAGTTGGACCATTGTTGAAAAGTATGAAAATCACAATATCCTGGAATTTAATATACAGTCGTATGCTTATTTATGTTACCATTGATGATTATGGCTTGCAGCTAATTAAATTTACTTCTTCAGAAAATTTGAGTACTGCGCAAGATTTTTTTAAAGCAGGATTTTTAATAGAGGAATGTTATTTCATGACCATGATGTTGCCAGTCAGTTTTAGGAAAGACTGCTGACTTGACAGTTTATCATGGAGGCTGAGCCAGAAGAGATTATTGCAATAAAACATCTCTTACCTGGACTGAGATGAAAAAAAACTGGACTGTTCCTCAGAGTTCCAGATGCCTCTTTTAAATAAAAACTAAATGTTTAATTTTGTTTAGAAAAAAGGCTAAAGAATTTGGCAATGCAGACAAACTAGGAGATGCAATAAAAGCAACGTTGACTTCCTTAATACAGGCTGCCATCCTGCATTGATGCAGTAATTCATGTAAACTGAGTCCCAATCAAATATTGAGCTCATATACTCTATAGGAAGTGGACAGATTTTTCAGGAAGTCAACACTTATGTATTAAAAATCCTTTTTTGTCTTTCACTGAATTTTAGGTTTTCTGTAGGCCAGAATCAGCAACAGTAACAGAAATAAAGACTTGGAACATATCAGACTGTGTATAATAATTGCAAATTTATAATTATTTTCTTTGATTACTTCAACAAATTAACATTTCAATAACATTATTTTTTTATTGAGTTATTAAATCACTCATTTCCCAGGTTCTGACTGTATAAAGTACAGTCAAATAAGTCGGATGAAATATCTATGGATGTCTTGCTGCATACTAAAGTTTATTTTTATGTTGCTTCTGGCTGTTTATTCACCATCTCAGTGAGTTCTGTGCTGAGGGCAGCTCAGAGTAGCTGAGAGCATTTTGTTCCTTTCCTGTTTTTTGTGGAACAATCTAATTTGACCCGAGTCTGGGCAAAATCTTTTAGATTGCTTCTGCCTCAAGGCTGAGAAATGCTGTAGGAGTTTATTTGCATGCTTGAATTGTTAAACTGTAGAAAACCACAAACCATATTTGCATCTCTTTAAGGTAATCTGTTTGGACAGATTTAGTGTTTTTCAAATGATAAATGTAACAATTTGTTTTTCCGCTCTAATCTGTTTTTCTCTAGACATTCCTCTGCTGCCTTCCATCTCTGCTCTGAGTACGGTGGACGACGAGGAACCCGGCAGTCTGTTTACCGTCCACTGGCTCAACAACAAAGAGCTTCACTTCACTTTGGCCATGGAAGTCTTCCTGCAGCAACTTGGAGGGAGTTTGGAACAGAGGAATGAATCCTCTAATGAAGGTTCAGTAAATTATTTCCAATCTGTAAAATATGTTGCATGTTACAGTAAGGAGATTAGTTCACGAATGTCTGCATTCAATTTCAGAGCTTGATGATGAAGAAAACTCCGACGAAGAAGAGAACAGACCAAGTGACCACCAGGGCCCTGAAGGTGGGGAGCTTCCCGTAGCAGCTGTGGAGCATCAGGTGGACGTTTTGTTAGAGGAGTGGAATAAAGGGGCTGACATGCTGTTCAGTATTCACCCGCTGGACGGCTCTCTGTTGGTCTGGCATGTCGACTGGTTAGATGAATACCAGCCAGGCATGTTCAGGCAAACTCAGGTACATAACTCTTAATTTTGTTTTATTACACGTTTGTTTTTTATGAGTCAGGTTTGCAGCATTTTGTAGAGGTATTAATACTCCTTGACTTTTTACACATTTTGTCAAATTTCAACCACAAACTTCAGGTTATTTTCAGAGTTTTGTAGGTTTGACTAAATGCTCAAAGTGAACGTTTGTCAGACTTATTTGGTGTTGCACACTAAACTGCTCAATTAGAAACTACATTGACATCAAACTGTCCCCTATGCAACACAAAGCTGAGGAGGTTGAGGGGTGGCGCCATCTTGTAGACCCGAGTCATATTTCGAAGAGTGTTTGGCAGAAGAGATTAAAAAATGTAGAGACTTGCCCATTCTTTGCCGTTAAAAAGCTTTACTGTATTAGATTGGGTTGAGCGCTATTAATTTCCACGTCTTGCAAAAAAAAAGAAGTAAATTTATTTAGCTTCCATCAAATGGATATGCTTTGATTTAAATCTGCTTCAGGTGTATGTTTTGGGTTAAATGAGCTGAAATTATGCAGCTCTTTTCTAGTCATATCATCCACTCAAAGCCCTTTGATTTACAGCCACTTTCATCCAAACTTTTATTCACACACTGATCCACAGATCATTTAGCAACCTGGGTTTAAGTGCCAGGAAATTATCAGCAGGTAATGAGAGAACGCTTGAATTAAACCCACATCATGATTCTTCTACCACCATATTTTACTTTAGTGATGTGCAATGACAATTTTCTGAGGCACACTGAATTTGTTAAATAGGTCAGAAAGTTAAATTAAGTTGTATCCAACTGAGAACACAATTTCTGTGTCATCTATGTGGTTTGTGGCAAACTGTAGTATTTCTAGTTGCGTTCTTCCAACACTGGCTTTTATTATTGCAATTTCACAAAAAGCAGATTTGTGGAGTATATGACTTGTGTATGTGCTGTTGAAAAAGGTTCACCATCACAGAATATGGGGAAAAAACATAAAAATGTCTGCAAGGCTCTATATGTTAGACCTCTGATGCTGCCGTTTTTGAGACTTTGAAGCCTATAAGGAAGATGGGCAATTGCGAGAGAAAAATTTCACTACCTAAATAAATTAAGAGTTTATCAACATTAGGGTTATTTATCCAGAAATTAAAATGAGTTGGCTTTTCTATTAATGCTACTGATATCAACATAAATGAAGAAAATAAAAGGAAGCAAAAGAAGCAGCCAGTGTCCCTTGTGTCTTCATTATTACGAGAGTGGCTTTTTCTTTCATTTTGCCACTTTTTGCTGGAGAGAAGAATTTTTGCCTTTTCATTTTGTTTTAAGATAAAAGTTAATGATCCCATGTGTTATCTGTGAGCTCCCAGTGTCCCTAAAACAGTTTCAGCTCTGGAGGAACTTTTTCCTCTTGTTGAAACAGATTTTCTTGCCTTATGATTCAAATTGAGCTTCAAGTTTTCCTCATTCCAGACTGCAATTCTTCTGTTTCTCTCCCAGGTGTCGTTTGTGTCCCGCATCCCAGTAGCGTTCCCTACAGGCGATGCAATCTCCCTGAGCCACAGTGTGGTCATGTATGCCTGCAACAAGAATGTGGATCTGGCAATTCAACATGGCAGACAGCGGCCGCCCGGGAGCTCCTTGTCTCAAACCAAATCTGCTCTGATAAGCTACGGGAGTCTTGGGAAAGCTGCCCCCAGCAGCAGCCTCAGACTGAGCATTTTCACCCCTAACGTCCTCATGATCTCCAAACATGACGACGGCTCGCTGAATCAGTGGGCGGTCAGTTTTGCGGAGGACTCTGCTTTCTCCACTGTGCTCAGCATCTCTCACAAATCACGCTACTGTGGTCACCGTTTCCACCTCAATGACTTGGCCTGTCACTCGCTGCTCCCTCTCCTCCTCACCACCTCGCACCACAACGCCTTGAGGACGCCAGAGGCAGACAGCATCCTGGCTCCTGCGGAGGCCTACTCCACCAGTGTCCCGTCTTTCTCTCATGGGTCACGACCCTCCCGTGTGTCCCTCGGAGGGGTTTCCCAAGATCCCAATGCCATCTACAGCGAGCTGATTCTGTGGAGGGTGGACCCGGTTGGGCCGCTGTCTCTGTCAGGCGGGGTCTCAGAGCTGGCCAGGATCAATTCCCTCCATGCGTCAGCGTTTGCTAATGTAGCCTGGCTTCCCACACTCATTCCTAGCAGCTGCTTAGGTGAGATCTGATTCTCACCTCTCTTACAGATCACATTTATAGTAAACGCAGCCTTGTTTTGGTTTGTGTTCAGTTCATTAATGAACATTTTGAGTATCCATCTGGATTATAAGAGATCGATCTTTAAACATTAGAGTCAAGTTGGTAACTTTTCAACATTTTTGTGTCCATTTTACCCTCATTTGTATAAATATTTTTGTAAAAGCAACAATTTTCATAAATGGAATCAAATTTAAACTTTTTTGTCCACTACTGTTCAAATGTGAAATGTCTTTAATATTTAATTGTTAAGTTGATATTAATGTACTTTCTTTCCATCATCAGGTGTGTACTGTAACTCCCCCAGTGCTTGCTTTGTGGCGAGTGATGGACAGTCACTCAGGCTCTATCAGGCTGTTATTGAGGCGAAGAAACTCCTGAGTGAACTCTCCAACCCTGAGATTTCTGTGAGTGATCCAAACTGTCACCTGTCTGGTTGTGTAGATTAGGAATATCAAACGACTCCAAAGTGATTCAAACCTGCATTTTTTCCCCCAAATATGGACACATTCTTATTTATATACATGTATTTCAAAATCAATATTGACCGTTTTCGAGTGGTTATATCATATAATTTGTCAAGCCACACAGGGCTGGCTATGCCTGCTTAAGCTATATTTATCCATTCAAAAATAAATCCAACCACATTTTTAATCAGTTCTGTACTTTTGATGCGTTTTTGTTTTAAAACATGATACAAATCAAATTTTCTACAGAAAATGAAAAAAGATTGTTTACTGCAAACCGAAGAAGAAAAAAGAAGCTTATTTATTTTTCTCAATTGAAACGAAATGTACAAAGTACAGTGATGTTTGTCTACTGATCCATCCATAATTAGCACTGAAATAGGTGATTACTATAGTATAATGTGTTTTGTTTAAACATGACAACTGCTGATTACAGATAAAAAGAATAATAATAGTAATTCAGTCCTAATGTTACATTATATATTCAGGTTTCCTACACAATCTGGAGAAGTTGAAAACATTGATTTTCGTATTTACAGTTCTAGATAAGTTTATGGGAAAAAAAAGTGTGTGTGCATTCAACAAATCTCTTGTTTTCCCCACGATTTATGTGTGTCAAGGTAGTTATTTCTATTCATTAATTTATTATTTCATTTCAGAAATATGTTGGGGAGGTGTTTAACATCATCAGCCATCAGTCCACAGCAAAACCAGGCTGCATCATTGAGTTGGATGCCATTACAGACTTTGTAAGTATACATGAGATCTTGTAAAACATTTAATTCTTCTCACCACTGCTTTTTGTCTTTTATATTCTCATTGAATTGCAAAGACTTATTGTTAAAGTCTTACACAGCTACATAAAAGTAGAATGATTATGCGTTTGTCTTGGTTGTAGATGCTTCAGAGCCGCAGCGTTCTGAAGTAGACGGAGTCTGTGTTTAGAAACACAAGGATGTAGAGAAAATCTTTCCTTATTCCCAAAGGCAGTTTGTTTTAGCGATTACACACATATACATTCTTTTCTGTGTGTGTCTGCATAAAGGTGTAGGAAAATATCAGATTTATTTTTGATAACACCTGCTGCTGTTTCTCAACAGCAGGGGAAGGAGACCCAGCTCCTGCACGTCTTTGAGGAGGATCTGATCCTTGGCAGTATGAAAACAGAAGACACACAAGATACTCCTCAGTCTCCTCCTACTGGCATGACATTTTAATTTGTTTTAAAGATCGGTCTTTTGTTAAAGTGGAACAACATCTTATCTGTTATCGGTGCCCATTTCCCAGCAGGCTGCAGTAAGCCAGCCTTCTCAGGACGTTTTTTTCTGGTGGTGGTGGAACTGACGCCTACTGGCCGCTCCTTGCTCCACATGTGGCATCTGCATCTGGCAGCTTGTCCTGTCACAATAGGTGGGTACTTTGAGAAAATAAACCTTTTTAACTGCTTTGTAAGGTTGTGAGGATGTAGATTAAGTTTTGTATTATTGCACTAAATCTAAAATTAGAGACATTTGTGGCCTCAAAAGACTTGGTAATCTGTTGCTCTAAAGATTTAGATGGCAGTACTTATTGTTTGGTACTAAAATTTGTTGTTTTCCCAATCTTTGGTAAACGTTTTAGCACCCTCTTCCTTTTTTATTAACTTTATTTCTTTAACAAGCTTAGTGAGTCTCCTGACTCAGCTTTCAGTTTAGATTCATTCAGGTCATTTTTAACTAGCTGTCCAGAAATGGTCTAAGGACTGGATGCCTCAGTTGGAAGGAATTACAGATCCGTAGAGTATCAAATCTACCATTTTAGATGAAAGTCATTACAAATAAAACATTTTTATTATTATTATTAAAAACAACTTCTTTGAGTTCTAGTCAGGATTTTGGCCACAACAAATCATGGAGTCTGTATTCATAAAGGTTTTAAATGACTGGAAAAGTGAGTGGTCACAAATTGTAACAAAGACCACATGTGGGTTTTCTCAAGGCTCCATTTTTATTAGATTCATTATTTAGGAGCTCCTCCTCCTCCCATAGATTAAATACTGCAATGTGTGCTGCGATATTTATGTCAATGACGTACAACTTTTCTGTCACAGCAAAACAACATCTAGTCTTAATAATATGAACAAGTTGAGGAGTTATAGAGAAAGCTGCCGTAAACTGTAAAGGTCAAGGATTAATTTCAGTTCAGTTTAACATCTTCAAATCTAATTTTGATGTTCTTTTGTTTGATACTTATATTTTATGAATGGAGCTACACTAATAAATTTGCCTCGACTTAAAATCGATTATAATTCTTTGTGCATTGTAAATAAACCCAAGAGACCATTATTGAGATCTTAATCTTATTACCTTTTGTGTTTCCTTCCCCTTTTAGAGGAAGCTACAATTCAAAAAGAAATCAATGCAGCTTCTCCTATAACCGGCTCTCAGTTCGTCTTCGACATCCCCAGCTCTCCGGCACAGAAGAGTAAACCCTGCACTTCCAATTTACAGAGCGCCTGTCGTCTCAGCCTGACAACGCACATGCTGTGCAGCCAAGAAATGGCTCTACCGCAAGGGGTGGAAGTCATTAGCGTTACTCCTTCAGCAGGTGAGAAATAATGAGGACGCACTATCATGTATGAGAGAAGAGATTTGGAAACACTAAAACTTACATTTTAACAAGACATAAAAGAGTTTCTTAAATTAACACTTGTTTAAAGACAGAAGAAAATTATTTTTTTTGGAATTATAAAGATTTTTCTCATGTCTACCAAAGTCTTATTTGATAAACAAAGCAATTACAGTAAATGAAGCATATCCTGCTCTTTCATTAACAACATCTCTTTTCTTCATGTTTTAGTTTATTGATGTGGTTCTGTGAAAGAGGCTTTTATCAGTCTGGATTTTATTGGACTGACTGTAACGAGCAGAGCTGTTGTCAGACATGGGGGAAAAAAACCAAGTTGCATCAATTATTTTTCACTGCTTCCACTGGCACTATTTTGGCTGTGATTCATAGGATCTTTGCCTAATAAAGTTCAGAAATAACAGGGAAAGGGAATTATCCAGAATTAAAAAAAAAATGTATAACAGAGTTCTGGGTTGTGTAGTGAGCTTTAAAGGTACCTCTAGGAACTTAATAAGCTTGTATAGATTTAACCTAATGAACCTCAAATTGGTTCTTATTCCATATTTATATGGTTATGAGGAAATAAAACACTTTAATTTTGATTTCTGTTGTGTTAAGGGTAAGATGCCAATTAAGTAAGGTTCGGCTTTAAGTGAAAATGTATGCCTAGAAAATGCCATGTTTGGCAGATGTGGAGAAGATTTAAGCTTGTCTAACATGATTCAATTTTAGGGAAACAAGATTTTTCAAACTATTTGACTAATTCAGCTAATGCTGTGTTATCTCTTCAGGTCATCTGAGTGCATCATGTTCTCTGCCGTCGGGCCGTGTGCCTTATCTCCTTGCTACTTCCTGTTCTGATGGAAAGGTGCGTTTCTGGAGGTGTACTGCTTTGAAAACGGACCCGTCCAGTGTACACAGCTTGGTGTATCAGTGGGAAGAGTGGCCCCTGCTGGTGGAGGAGACTCATCCGAGCAGCAGCGCCGTGAGCGTGCCTGGTCGGCCCATCAAGGTCAGCTGCTGTCACTCTGGACGGATTGCTGTCGCCTACAGGCAGACGAACCCACCACTGAACTCAGCACCTCATCTGACCACTCACAGACTGTTGCAGTCCCCTCCTGCCCTGGCATCCTCCCCCTTCTGCAGCAACACTCACATTACCCCAATGCTTACTCTACAGCCTTGTCAGAGTCTCGCGTTAAGCCCCAACTCAGCCAACACGAAGGAACCATCAGTCCATATCAGCACCTTTCAGTGCGAGTCCACTGGTGGTTCAGAGTGGATACTGGAGCAAACTATAGTCCTGGAAAGCACAGATCCCACAACTTTTTCTTCCACCAGCAACGGACATGCCAATATTCCAAATAGCACAGACTTCTCTACACTAAACGGAAACTGTCCTGGTTCTGCTAATGGGAGCCAGGTTCACTTGGACTGGGTTTCCCAAGAGGATGGGTCACACATACTGACTGTTGGCATTGGGACAAAGATTTATATGTATGGCCGTCTCTCTGGGAAGCCTCCAGACTTAGGCCTGTCTTCTGAAACAAATAGAGACCAAAGTCTGTCTCGTCTGGTTCTCCTTCGATCTGTTAATCTGGTTTCCTCTGTTGAAGGCTCGTTACCTATCCCAGTCTCACTGTCGTGGGTTCGAGATGGGATCTTGGTAGTGGGCATGGACTGTGAAATGCATGTTTACTCCCAGTGGCAACCACCGGTTCCCCCCAAACCCAGCGTTGCGGCCGTCCAAGACACAGATGTCAGCAGCAGCATCTCCTCTATAGTCTCAGCTGTCAGACAGTGCCAAGAGGACGTTTTCACCACTGGTGCTCCCACAGCTTCTTTGACCCTTCCCAAACGATCCCTAACAAGATCAATGATGAGCCTGGCGCAGAAACTTAGTGGGAAGAAAACTGTTTATGACCTTCCTGTAGAGATGGAAGACTCCGGACTCTTTGAAGCGGCTCACCAACTCTCTCCTACTCTGCCTCAATACCATCCTGTTCAGTTACTGGAGCTTTTGGACCTGGGGAAGGTAAAAAACACTACTAATTTTCTTGTCTACACGTTTGTGAAAACATCATTGGTCCACATACTGTCCAAAATGACAAATTTAGATTACGAAGCATTTTTGTTGAACCAAGAAGATGGCTGACAGATGAGATGGGCAATTGTCAAACAAAATAAAGCTGGAAAGAAATGTAAAGAGGATCAGCAATGAAAAAAAAAAATCTATCATTTACATTTTAATAAAAAACTGCCTGTTGGAAAGTATTTAGACCCTTTTCATTAAACATTAGATGAATAATTTTGCAACCTTTTTAGCACTAAAACCTTCGTTTTAATTGCAGCACAGCAAAGTTTTCATTGTTATTTTGCTGATGAGCTTCTAATAGTTGAGGTTGTAAGCTCCACAGATCCTCCAATCAACTTCAGATCAGGAACCCGGCGGGGCCGTACCAAAACCATTATCACTTTCAGTCAGAAGAAACGTATTGGTAAAATTAAAACTTTAAACCCAAACACACACAATGGTTATCAAGAATTTTTAGTGCATCTGCAAAACTTTAGATTAATCTGACAGGATTTTAAGCTAATTTCTCTTTAATCGGCATAAATGACAAGAAAATACTAAAAACCAAAAGTTGAGCTGTCCCAATAAAATATTTAGAGAAAAATCCAACCCAGTGATTTCTCAAAATCAGCACGAAACTTAGAGCTCCTTACTTCTGCATTATTCTGAATACATAGTCAAATCCCCATGCTTATATAACATAGTTATGTATTAAAAAAACTGTATTGCAGCAAAGTTAGTTGTTTACAGAACAGATTACTGCTCATTAACTCTATATTTGCACAGCTGATAATGTAATATGCCCAACATCACATGATGACCTAATTTTCCTGCACTACAAGTTCTTTTTAAAATGAATGACTGTATCCAGCTTCATGTTTAGTTGAAAAGAAGAAAGCAATAATTTTCTGTTACGTTTTAACATCATCTACAAAAGATCGTCAACATCTTCTCCTCCAGCATGATCTGCGGCAGACAAGATTCAATTCTTCAGAAGGATAAAACAGAACAGCTTTGCTGTAAAGTTCCCTGCTAACCTTTTGTGGCTCAGCTGAAGTTTATTTTTAAACATCCGACTCGCACTGAAAACTGCTGAGTCCTCTTTACCCAGAAACACCTGCAGATTAAACCAACACATCGTCTGAGAGCTTAGCAGTTAAACAAAAGCATGCAAGATTTTCTGAGAGAAGTAGTAGTTCAATTCAACGTGCTTAGAAAGTGGAGCCAAGAAAGTAACCCAGCTTAACCCCTGTTAAACTGTTTTTCTGCTGATTGTCTGGCCTGTGGTCGCTGTGAAATTAGTTTGAGGTGCAAAATTTGCTCCTGTAGCTCAAGTGGTTCCTGCAGAGGACAGCCAGCTGCACAGCCTTATAATTTTTGGCCTCTTTTTTTATTCCCACTCTGTAGAGTTCATGTTTATGCTAACAGTGGTTGTTGTTGGCTATTTAGCAAAATAACTAAAACGAGTACCTTAATTTAAGCTGTGTGTTTGTAACATGATTTCTCTGTCTTCAGGTTCACCGTGCCAAAGCAATCCTCTCTCACTTGGTAAAATGCATTGCTGGGGAGATAGTGATACTCAAGGACAATGCCACCCATCCAGAGAAACGCGTGCGCTCTCGGACTATCAGTGTGGGAGGCAGCACAGCCAGGGACCAAAAGATATTCAACAAGTCAGAAAGCTCCAGCCCTGACTACACCGAGATAAGCTCCGTCCCTCCCCTGCCTCTTTACGCTCTGCTGGCAGCTGATGAGGATGCACCACATCTTGGTGAGTTTGAAGCATGGAGGTTATTGGAAATGTGCCAAGTTGAAAATAAAGCAGTATTTAGTTTGGAAGATCTCCTCGAATGCAAACAAGTGAATTTATGACAGGAATTAATTTTTTCAGCATCAACCCAACATTTTTGTTGAATTCTGACCTGCTGATTCGATACTATGTTCATATATAGATGTAAACATTTCATCTTCAGTTGACAACATATTGAACTAACAATTTCTAATTAAGCAAACTTTGTGAGATGGATAAAAAAAATTTTAATGATTTGCTATTTTTTTTCTAACTAAAACACTTTGTAAATCCATCTGGATTCATGTCTAAAGTGACGATATTTATATCACTGTTTGGAGCCAGACATCTATCACTAGGCTAAAAATGGGTATCATTGTTGGCTAAACTTCCTTACTGTGTGAGATACAAAGAAAGGCACCCTCTTCTCATTAAGCAGCATTCTGTTATGTCCTTTTTCATGTTTAAAACAAAAAGAATACAAGCTGTCGTCTCCTTTTTCAGCAGTATTACAGAATATTGTTTCAGGCTTTCTGTGCTCTGCTTGTCTTGTCTGTTTCAGCTCAGTTAATGTGTTGCTTTTGCAGAGAAAGGAGGCAGTATGAGCGGTGACAGCGGACATGGCTCCAGTCAGACTGATGCCTATGATGAGCTCTTTCATACACACAACACTCTGGATCTGGATCCTCTGGACAACGAACAGGAAGAATCTGGGAATAAGGTTAACTGCTTCTTTGAACTTGCTCCGTGGACAAAGCAACCGTTTGGGCTTTTTTGGTTTTCAAATTCATTGTTGAGATCAGCAAATGTTCTGCAAAAACTCTGTACCTGGCTAAAAAAAAAAGTTTATTAAATATATTCTTGTCTGCTCTGTCTGGACATATTTTCCAAATTCTGTCAAGTTGATCTAAATGCATCTTAAAACTTTAGATGGTACCCATCGTCTCCTGTTTTGCTCCATATTTGTAGGTTATTGACCTTTCCCAGTACAGTCCGACATACTTTGGGCCAGAGCATGCTCAGGTTCTATCCAGCCACCTCCTCCACTCCAGTTTGCCTGGATTAACCCGAATGGAGCAGATGTCCCTCATGGCGCTGGCGGACACAATCGCCACGACAAGCACAGACCTTAAGGACAACCAGGATAAGAGCAAAGGTAAACCAGACATGTAACATTCAAATGACTTGGGTAAATACGTTTACAACTCACAGCAGAATGTGGTCATATTTGGAGGCAGAACAGTTTTTAATAAATATTGCAGGTGGAGAAACACTGGATGAGTGTGGGTTGAAGTTCTTGCTGGCTGTCAGACTCCATACCTTCCTTCTAACATCGCTGCCTCCTGTCCATCGAGCCCAGCTGCTGCGGCAAGGTACAGTGGTGTTGTATGTACAACTGCTTAAAGATCCTCCATCCCGGGCTTTCTGGGATGGAGAAAGCCTGAGATTCCTGCACATGTGAAATTAAATATCTGCCACACTGGTCATTTTTGTTGAACATGGTTTCCTCATCATTTGGTGTTAAAATAGCGATTGGACATAACGTACACCACTCTGAATGTTTCCACCCCAGGAAACACCCATCTTTCATTTTCTTATTACCACTAAAATATCTCACACTGCTGAACTGAATTGAAGTAGCAGTTCTAAGATGTATATGTACATCTTTTGATAAGGCAGTTTATCTGAAAAATCTGTTCATGCACAACTTAAAGAGTAGAATTAGTTAAAATATGTAGCAGTGATGTTTTCAACAACAGATCATATTTGGGGTTGTTGGCATGTTATTAACATTGTAAGTTTCTTACCTCGTTGTTTGTCTCTCCGCTTGTTTAATCTGGGCTTCGTTCAGAGCAGTAACTCCAAGAATCCCTAAAGCAAGAAAGAGAATGAAATGATAGTCTCAATTGTGGACACTTGACTGCAGTTCTCTTTAGGAGAAGTGAGCAAGCTACGGTCTATTCATCACTCTAAACTACTGCAGTAATGTTTCCTTTGAGACAACTAAAATGCTTCCTTTAGGCTCTCCACATGTTATCCGTTAGAGGAAATCCTTGTCTCCTTTGCTGAAGCAGCCTCTAATTTTACAGTTTTGGTCTACGTTGTTGGAAGTTTAACTACAAAACTAGTTTTCTGGCTCTTTCTTTTCTGTCTGTAGGCCTTTCAACGTGTCAGTATGCCTGGGCCTTCCACTCTGAAGCTGAGGAGGAGCTCCTGAACATGCTGCCTGCCCTGCAGAAGGGAGAGCCCACCTGGGCCGAGCTCCGAGCCATGGGTGTGGGCTGGTGGCTGCGCAGCACCAACAAGCTGCGCAGGTGTATAGAGAAGGTAAAACGGACCATCATGTAATTCAGTTATGATGAATAATAAATAGTCTACTAAAGGAAAAAAAAATCTGAACTAACATAAGAAAACTACTCCAACATGCTGCCACCATGAGTGCAGGTCAAGAAAACTATAATTGATAATTTTGCTTAAACCAATGTAGCTAAATTAATTACAAACTAATTAGAAGGTTTAGTTAAGTAATAGTTTTCAACCTGTTAGAATAATTGTTGTTTTTATTCTTCAAATAAATATTTGATTAAAGTTGTTAGATGATTTTAAGCCAAAACTGCTGCAAAACATTAAACAAATGTATCTGACATCCTCTCATAAAATAAAATTGACTGCTTTGTATATTCATACTTGTGCTGATTGAGTTGTCCACACGTTTTTGTTGGTTTTATAAAATCTTGCGATTTTGCTGCTGTAAATCTCCCGTCCCACCATAACTCAAAAGTGATCAACTCGACTGAGACAAAGTGACTAATGAAGGCCAATTGAAAACGGTTAATTCAATTGGCCTTCAATTCAATTGAAGGCCAATTCAAAGAGGGTGCAAAGAAAATATCCCCCTTACCTCAACACCTCCAACCAGAACAGTTGATGCATTGAGGAATTTGTTTTTGTTGCAGCTGAAATCCAGACTCTTCAGACCAGGCAGCCTTTTTCCAATCTGCTATTGTCCAGTTTTGATGAGCCCGAGTTCCTCTGCAGTTTTCTGTTCTTAGCTTACAGTTTGATCTTTTGCTCTTTTATGCCGTTTTCTACAAGATTGGAAATGCTGTGCGTCCAAATACGGATGATGTAACAAATGTGTTCTTGAGTTGTTGTTGCCCGTCGGTCATCTCAAACCAGTCTGTCAGGTTTCCTCTGATATTGATTAGATGTTTTTCTTCCACACAGCTGTTACTCACTAAATATTTCCTCATTTTTGGGCTGTTCTGTGTTAAAAATCTCAGATCAGCAGTTTATGAAATACCCAGAACAGCTATTCTGGCATCAAAAACAATGTCATATTTGTCATTATAAGTCTCCCCCCCCACCCCATTTGGTGCTCATTCTACCTTTAAGTCAGTCACCATGATCATATCTAGATGTGTAGAAGGATATCTGCTTGACTGTTTGAGTTAAACCTTTAAATAGTTGCACCTAAAAAAGTGGCCAGAGTGTATTTCTCCAAATCATATGCTCCTCCTTGTTTTTCCAGGTTGCCAAGGCTTCGTTTCAGAGAAACAATGATCCTCTGGATGCTGCTATATTTTACCTTGCAATGAAAAAGAAGGCAGTGGTTTGGGGACTGTACAGGTAGGCGCCTCTGATATGCTGTGGCACATTGTTCCTATACAAGCTTAGTTGTGTCAAGCTGCTAAGGATTGGTGACGTTGATGTTCTTTAAATGTTTTTCTCTCCAGGTCTCAGAAAAATACAAAAATGACAGAGTTTTTCCACAACAACTTCAGCGAGGACAGGTGGAGGAAAGCTGCATTGAAGAACGCCTTCTCTCTGTTGGGAAAGCAGCGGTTCCAGCATTCTGCTGCCTTCTTTCTGCTGGCTGGCTCCCTTAAGGATGCCGTGGAGGCAAGTGGGGAAAAAAAAAAACATATGACAATGTGTTTATCAGAAGGTTTTGTTGTTTCAGCTACACTGCCTGTTCACAACCCAATTAGATGGCTGGTTTTAATAAGTAAATGCTGAATCTGTTTTTTAGTATCATTATCCACCCATTCTTATGTTTCTGCATCAGTTATTCAGTGTTTCACATCCAGCCATCCCTATCCTTTTTGATTTTGTCCGTCTCAGTTTGTCTGACCGTCTGTCAGTTCATCAACACTCCCGCTCGCCTATCTGTCCATCAGTCTTTCAGTCCTCTATCTGTTTATCTGTTTGACCATCCATACATTTCTATTTTACACTCTCTGGTTTCTGCAGGTTCCACTTTAGAAGCATCAGTGGAAATATCTGCAGTCACTGCGTTAGAAAGCCTTTTATTTATGCAAAAAAAAAAGAAAACGGATTGAGAACTCTGGAAACTGTAGTCTGGAAAAGTTGTTTAATATTGGCAGTTAATTGAGTGCTGCAGCCTTTCCTCCTGTGGTTGGGTCTGTAGTTTTAAAAGTTGTTAACCAGTCTGACTTCTTACTTTGAAAAGCAGTCAGAAGAGCTAGAGTAGCTAGATCAATACTCTGCATTCATGCATTGAATCCACCTTATCTTTTCCCAACTTTTTTTCCCCTATATTTATGCTTGAAATGTCTTCATTTGAGAGGAGAGTGGATTGGAAGTCACATTTGTTGCATTCTAATTCTTAAAAGTTGACTGTTTTTCATTGCTGTGTTTGCATGGTGACTAAAACGGCTGCCGTCTGTCAGTCTGCAGCTATCACTATCAGGGAGTTGACATGGGCCATCATGATTATTTAGGCTTTTACTTATCAAGGTTATTCCTACTCAGATGGTCCCTTAAGCAATGAGTCACATTGTTGCATCTGCATGAGTAACCACTACCTCTCTAAGCATTTTATGGTAATGAGCTTCACCCAGGCGAAGGGCTATCATTGACTTTGCTCATTTTCCCTGGCTGGGAGGTTGTCTCATTGAAATGCATCTCACCATAAATCAGTTCTGAGCAACCAAAATGTTTTCCTCCTAGGACATTTTACTTTTTTACATGAATATGAAACAAATAGTATATATAATAACTGACTGATTTATTTGCTCCTTTTAGGTGTGTTTAGAGAAAATGCAGGACTTGCAGTTGGCCCTGGTGATCTCTAGATTGTATGAATCCGAGTTTGAGATATCTTCTACTTATAAAAAGATCCTCCAGAGACATGTTTTGGGTCAAGACAAACAGGTAAGCACTTTGTATAAGCCCATGTAAAAGACACACAAGTAGTATTATTATTATTTTCTTTAAACATGCAATATTTTATGATGCCACCCAGCTCGTTTTGATTTGTGAACTTCTGTAGCCATAGTCATTTCCTGTGTCTTTCAGATTCCAGTCCATCCAGATCCGTTCCTGCGAAGCATGGCTTTCTGGGTCCTGGAAGATTACAGCAGGGCCCTGGACACACTGATTGAGCAGCCTGCAAACTGCAAAAGCTCTGGACCCTCTCAGAACAAATGTGACAGTGGTATGTATAGTGTCGCTCTGAGGTCGTCTTTTTTTTTTTTTTTTTACTAAAAACACTTTCTTAATGATGAAATTTGTTTATATTGAATTAACTTGATCACCCTTAAGTTTACCTTTTATTCTGTAAAGGAAATACTTGGTTTCTTTCCACACAAACATTTATGTAGTTAGCTTTAAGGTAAGGTAAAAATGTCCACATCCAAACCCAAGTACTGGGTCTCAGTCGAGGCTTTATTCAATATAACGCCTGTTGTTGATCATGATGCCTGTGATAAGTTTATTTTCTATAATTTTATGCAGGCTGCACTTGTAACAGTGCAATTTCATCACTATATTTTTTACAGTTGGAGCTTGTTTTGTGTCTGTGGCTGTCTAAAACTGTATCACAGACACAATATTTCACTGATCAAAATTGTTTTTGTGATTTTCACAGTGATGGAGAGACTGTATTGGCTATTGCAGCTACTGTTCTGTCAGCATCACCTGACCTGTTTCTCTTTACACTTGTCCCATGTAAAGACATAACATTTATTTCTGCAGAATTAACTTTATCACATTTACGTTTACTTTTACTCTATAGAGGGAATGCCTGGTGCTTTTCTCTATAAACTTACATATTGGTAGTGTTGAGGTAACGCTGACCATTTCCAAACCTCACCTATCCCCCGTAAACCGAAACACAAATTCATCTCTTTGTTCAAAGTGAAGTGTTGAGTTTGGGGAGTTTTTTTCTGAATGTTTTGTTTGCACATAATCAGCTGAAGCCAAACTTGGTCATAAAAATTTTAGCCTAACACTTCAGCCAACTGCTGTGGATGAAAATATTGTCCATAGGAGAAAAACACGAGTTAATTAAAGTTTGTACAAATCGAACACATTTTTCTAAGCATTACCTTCCTCTAGATCTTCATGTTGAAACAGAGTCCCTGGTGAGTGAGTTGAATACTGTGCAATACTGATGCTGATGAAATGTTGTTTATTTCACACCACTTTAAAGCTACTGGGTTTTAACTAATTTTAATGAGGTATTGGGCTGGGACTTCTGCAGCTGAATATTCAAACCAATCCTGACTGGGACAGCCCTACATTCATTGCACCACACAAGAGTTGAAGATCCAGTCAGTTTTCTTTATTTTGTAATGTTTGGCTTTTAACATTAAAATGTTTTCTGAAATAAGCTAATTATGCTAGCGGTAATCCAGGAACTGTAAAAGTATTTTTAGTCTGAGCATGCAGCAGGTATATGTCAGAATCTGCTAAATGAGCATGATTACGAAGACGAGCTGTGCCGTAAAAAATCTGAACTCTTCCTTTAACAATGGATGAAGACCTGAACTCGGTGTGAACCTTTTCTATTTGACTTGAAAGCCAAACCAGTCCCAGATTAAACCTCCCTATGCTAACATGTCTCTTCCATAAATGATGTTCTCAAACCACAGCTGGTATGCTTACAGAAAACATAACGCTGGCTCCTGCTAATTTAAAAAATACTCTGGCTCTTTAAACTTAGATGCTCTCTCTCTATCTCTGAATTTTTCAATATTTATGTGGATAAGGAAATTTGATTCCTCACCTTCCTGCCCTTAAGGCATTTTTTTCCCTTCTAGCTCTTCTTTTTACATTTCAGTAACTGCAATGTATATCAGTGAGCAACTTCTGCTGCTGCTTCATATATTTTGAATCCCAATGGAGATGGTTGAGGTGGATGAGCTCTGATCTGGTTACAGTGACTTTCTAAAGCCTCACATCCCTTAAAACATTAGGTTTTGTCGGTGTGTTTTTATTTGGAATTTATTCAAAACACCAACTCATTGCAAAATGTAATTTTGAAGTTGAGGCAAAAAATATGACATATTTGCACATTTTACTGATGCCCCTAATCAAAATTGTTATAGGTTATAAAATACCCTAATGATTGGCGACGCAGGACTAAAATTAATCAGAGAAGAGACTAATGGTAATCTTTCAAAAAATCCAAAGCTCAACAGGATGTCAACAGGACGATTAAGTTCACTGCATAAATCTGGCCTTTATGATGGAGTGGAAATAAGGAAAGCATTTTTTTTAAAGAAAAACCACAAGAGGTATAGTTTGTCTGAAGACATGGTAAATATTTCAAAGAAGGTTCATTATTAGGCCTCTGCAGAGCTGTGTTACTTTCTGAGGAATTAATTCAACCATCACACGTTTGAAACCTGTAAGACTTTAGCTGGACACCCGTGGTCTAGATCAGGGGTGCCCAAACGTTTTGAGCACAAGATCTACTTTTTCTCTCACCAGCCGCCTGAGATCTACCTCATGACACAAAGACATAAAAATTGCAAATTAAACTCTATTTACTTATTTATATGTGAATATGCATCAGTTGTATCAGAAATAAAGTGACAGAAAACCTAATGCAGAAGCTGATTGCAGACCTGACGCCAGCAGGTGTCAGTCAGTCATGGTAGATCTGACATTTGGTTTGATGACCTCAGTATGAGAAACTACAGACTGATAGGAGGAACCAAAGAGCCCAGAAAAGGTAAAGGCAAATCTTCTGAAGTCGGGATATAATTAATTTCACATAATTATCTTAGTAGAATTTGTTAAAACTTATGTTTGTCCTATTTGATGTTTGTTGTGACGCATGCTCACAAAGAACAAGGTAATTAGTCCAAGTTTGTCGTTTATTGAATGTTCAGAAACTACAGCAGGTGTGATGAGCCACAGCAAAGGTAAACAAAGGTAAAACAACCCGAACAGACGATCAACTCAAAACCACTCGCACCTTTTTACTTTCTCTCTGTCGTTTAGCACACCCGTTGCCATGGCAACCGCCTGTGCTGAGCAGAGATTACAT